CTAAACTATCAATTTTGGTCCGTTTTAGTACATTAACTTTTAAATATTCCCCCCCCCCAAAACTTAATGTTAAATTTTGAACGGGGTACTAAAATGAAACAAAAACTAAAGTTTTAACGGCGGGGTACTAAAATGAAATAAAAACTAAACTTCAATTATGGTTTTGAAAAATCGAAAGTTTAAATACTAAAACGAATGAAAAGTGATAGTTTAAGTACTAAATACAAATTTGCCCTAGTAATAACGAGATTACCAGGTTCATATAAAATGGAGAGGCCAAAATCGATTACTTTAATTGGGGCAGTGTCGCTTTCATCAGCCAATAAGAAATTCTCGGGTTTTAAATCCCTATGTATAACTCCATGTTCATGGCAAGCCTGCGTATAATATTATACCAATTAATCTATTGCATTACTACATTTCCCACGTTGCAACAAAACTAAAGAAGAGTTTACAATTTTAAAAGTTTAAAGCAAAGATATTACCAACTATTTTCATATAAATTTTAACCATTATATAAGTGAATGTGTATGATTTCGTGAGCGCGCGCGCACACACACTGGGTATAATCATCCCAATCCAGTTTATTTTATTGGCAAATGTTAGAATTCGAACTCTTAATATTGCTTAAGGAATTTAGTGTATCCCCATAAGACCAACTACCATTAATATGTTTATTATGTATAAGTTGTGGATATAATCCTTATACTCTAATTTATTGTTATTTTCATTTTTTTATGAACCAAATTTTAAAGTTTTAGTGTTGATTGAATTTAATTCTGTGAAAATCGTTGTCGGTATATCATACAAGTGAACATTAAATATTTATGGGTCGTATTAAAAAAATTTAAAAATTTGATCCTAATACGGACGATAATCATTAAATATTATACATAAATTGTATATACAGTTTATGTTCAATTTTTTCTTTCATTTAGTTATATTATCCTTGTATCATTTAATTTAGAACTAAAATTTAAAATTTAAAAACTACACGCACTAAAATTTATCAAATTAGAATATAAAGACTAAATACTTAAGTTATGCACAATAAAGGGACTATTTGGCAAAATTTAACCACTTCTTGTTCGAATGTTAATGGTATATTCAAAAATGGAAAATAACACAGTAGGGGCAAAACAGGAATAAAATTATTTCAGTGAAAGGAAGTCTGAAATCGAAGCATCTTCTCTCCTGCATTTCCTCTCTGTCTAAATGAGTCATCTTTTTCTTGTTTTGACTTTCCAATGTCGTAAATCTCCTCTCTCAGAAAATTACAAAGCTTTGTCGGTCTTTACTTATATTAAACCCTCAAGCAATTGAATTTTTGTATTTGACAACTTGTTTTCCGATCATTTCTCTTTTCTGGGTAAGTTTATTTTCAGTTTTTGGATTCTGGGTTTATGTTTTTTGGTTCAATTTCGATGTGGGCTGGTTTTAATTTTCTGTTTTTACAAAGTTTATATTTTGGTTATCTGATTTTGGTCTTTTTCAGGTTGAACGCTATGAACATCTCATTTTTAGTTTGGTTAATTAAGTCAATCTTGTCATGACTCAGCTGATTTTAATTCTATTGATGAAAATAAAGACTTTGATTCATCTTGACTTTATTTAAATATCCATAATTTACCATTTTTTTCTGTATTATATATGAACTTTCTTTGTAGTTTTTCCCTTCTTGAACAAGTTAAAGATTTGAGTTTGTTTTTTCACCTTAAGAATTGCCGCTAACATTAATGGATTATGTCACTTATAAAGAAAAACCTTAGCTGAAGAATAATTTTGATGCAGTCTGCGTTTAAAACTGCTTATTTTAGTGCAAATTTGTTGTCTTGTCTTGTCAGAACATTTAGGTTCTTCCATGGAAGTTATGTCATGGTATCATATTGGATTTTTGGCTCCTCTGTTCGCTTCCCTTGTTCTTTTCCTTTGCTTGGGGATTAGGCTGAATAATGTGCTTTGAATGCCATTTTATGACCTTATACCAGTTTTAGCCGTTACGAATGCTATTCCGATTCTTTTTTCGAGAGATGGATTGCATTAGTGCAATTATTTCTTCTACAAAATGATCTGCGTATTAATGGAAATGTTGATATTTTCAGATTCTTCATTCTGCTTAACTATTTCCTAGTATATCAGCCAAGATGCGTGCAACATCATTGCTTGCACAATGCTTGCCGGGGTTGGTGCCCCAAGACTGAGGAAGCCAAAGCATGTCATCCGTATCAGAGAAAGATGTGGAGCTCTCGTCTCCGGCTGTGGAGATTCTCCCCTCAAAGGTACATTTCATTTCCCCATCAAGCTGTACTTGTGCAATTTACACGTGTCAAGTATATATGGTTGACTATCATCTAAATAGATGACTATGCGAGTGACTTGGTGGTGATTAAATTTGCATTCAAAATTGAGACATCCGGCTATTTGTGCAGACAGCTCATCCTCATAAGTATGCTGGGGATAATGTAGACCTGCAAGGGCTCAACGTGTTCAAGGTGCGTTTACTCGTTGCTTTTTTCTGGCATTTTCCTTACCATTTCTCTCTCACTATAATGTTTATATCTATAGTTGGCCTTTCAGTAGTAGCGGTCTTTTAAAAACACAGACTTAAGATATGTTTGCTGATACGTTTTCAACCTTCTACAGGGAAGAATTAGTGTCGTCGATATTGTTGGTTTCAGTGGTTCCGAACTGATTTCTTCAAAACCTGATGGTAAGCTAGTTATGTGCTACTTCTTTTTGAGTCGTACATTTTATTCTTACAAAGTATGATGCCAGTTCAAGTATTTAATACAATTTTGTTTTGCAGGGTTTCTGAAATCTTGGGACAGTTCTATTGATCTAGTTAACGTCCTTAAGCACGAGATTCGTGACGGACAATTGAGCTTTAGAGGGAAAAGGGTGCTTGAGGTAGTTCAATCATAGAAACATCTGAACATATCATCGATCACTGCACGTAGCTTTTGTTTTCATTTCTTTGAATTAATTTTTCAATATAAAACACGAATACACGATATATAGGATTTTTCATTCTCCTTATAGAAAAACATGTTTTAGGCCCATTTAGTGATATTATTAAACTGGTGAAATAAAATGCTCGAAGGTCAAGTAGATATACTAAGACTGAACAATTTTGGCTTTTATGTTCGACTTGAACTAATCGACCTAAGATGCTATAAGTTTCCGCGCTCTTGTGCTTCTCTGAAAGTTCTCATTTCATTTATGGAATAAAATGAGTTAAGGAACTACTTTATTGGTTTTGTAGCTTTTGATGTAGACTGTGCGCTAATTATCCTATTCGATAACTTTTACAGTTGGGTTGTAGCTACGGACTTCCCGGGATTTTTTCTTGTCTGAAGGTATGCTTTTCTATTTATCTTAGATTGTTTATAAGACCTTAACTCTGTCAACTATTAATAGATTGAGAAGCACTTGTGCATATACCATTGATGGTACTCAAGAATCAGGAATGTCTTAGCATTTTCATGTATTCGGAATGTCATTGGAGGATCGTGTCCTCATAGCCAGTCAGATATTGGTTCGGACATGGGCTTTGGACATGAGTACTGAATTGCTCGGCTTCTGTTATATGCTTAAAAAGAAGAGCAATTTATTTCTTATAAAGGATTAACTTGCACCCCATTTATTCATTTCCGATACAGGGGGCTTCCACAGTGCACTTTCAAGACCTCAGTGCGGAGAAAATTCGATGCACTACCATACCAAATGTTCTTGCAAATCTTGAGCAAGCCCGGGACAGGCAAAGCCGACAGCCAGAGAGTCCTTTGACTCCATCCAGACAAACTATTGCCCCTACAGTGCACTTCTATGCGGGGGACTGGGAAGAACTCCCCTCTGTATTATCTGTTGTCCGGAATGATGTGTCCGAACTGGCTAACGGGTTGAGCTTTAGCTTCTCCGAGGAGGATTTCTTGGATGGATGCAGTAGTCAGGATGGTAGCATCATGGCACAAGAAATTTCCTCGAGGAGATCGAGAAGGCTTTCAAGAAGTCGGGCGTGGGAAAGAGCTAGCGAGACGGATCAGGGAGAAGGCGGTTATGATGTTATATTGATGACTGAAATTCCATACCCGGTGTCATCATTGAAGAAGTTATACGCACTATTCAAAAGGTTAGTTTCTTATTTCGCTTTGCATGTTTTCTTTATCATGTTCATGCTGGTTTTATAACCGACGCAAGTGAAGTGACGTTGGCATCCCGAGAAATGCATGATTTTCTGTAAGGGTGTACATGTACAGAGTCCTACGTAACACCCGAAGGCTCGATGCCACCGCATATGTCAACTTCCTCTCTTAGTCTCATTGTCTTTTTAACTCCGCATTTCGACACAATGTATCATTTCTAATTCTGATTATGAACAACCAGTGTCTGAGTCCACAAAGAAGAACTACGTCGGCTACAACAACGCAGCGAAGCACCTCAGAGGCCTAGTCGATGAAGAAGGCATTTTCGGAGCCCATTTGATCAAAGAGGTGACCGATAGAGATATTTGGAAGTTTTTCCTCAAGTGACCAAAGTTTCAGGACCATGCAAAAATGGCTGCTGAAGTGATTGCAAATGATGTGTTTAGTTCTTTGGTATTGGTGTTAGTGATTACATATACCAGAAATTTATTCAATTCTTTTAATAGTAATAATCAAAGTGGAACATTTGGGAAGAATTAGTGCAGGCTAATTTTGCTGTCTTTTGTCATATTTTGTTCCATTTTTAATCGTAAATCAAAATTTACTTGAGTTGTCTTCAATGTTCTTTTCATATATATATATATACACATGAATATGTATATATATAATTTTTTTCCAGTTTTCTTCATGCATTTAGGGGATTGTACTTTCATAGTCATAAGAATACGTGATACGCACGAACAAATGTTTTCGAGGAAAACGAAGAATCGATGTAACATAGGTTAAACTAATAGATGAAACAACAAAACTTTCGCAATCTGATCAAATTGACTAATGAAAAGTCTCGAAGATAGATAAGCAAATATAAACATCCGTTGAAGTAGGCAAACTAAGTAGATGTGCCTCTATGGTGCAGGAACTTGTCAATCTTGTTTTGCAGCATGAAATAACACGAAATACAGACCGGTGCAACACGACGCACTATACAAGTCCGTTAGGCATCACGAGCCATAAATAGTACGCATATAATAATCCGCTAGACAGGTTCAAAAGAATGGTCTTAGTTGTTGCGAACATTCATTCATTGAAAAAGGAGACAATACATGGCTCAGATGTTCTACTACTTGCATGAGAAGAACTGTGCAGATGCCAACTAAACGAAGGGTGAAACTGCAAAAGTTTCGAAATTTTATGAAATACCCTGCCTTTGGTTGTCAGCTAATCTCCGCCAAACCATCCTCCCGCAGTGCATCAAGGTCAGGATTGCCATTAAGAAGAGAAGAGGAATCCCGATAACACAGCCATCATAAGCAAAATTTATCAAAGTCTGGAGGAAAAATGTCGGTAAGAATCATTCACAAACGGCAAAAGTTATACGAGAGAAGCAAGGTAATTTTGACAGTACAAGAGGACAAATTACGAATTATCGACACGTCAAAGGAAAAAGTAGTTGTTTGAAAAGCATCAGCTGATTGCTTATATCGTAAACTAGCTGCTGTTAAATGGCCGACATGCATGGAATAAGCATCAACTCATGAGACTACTTCACCAAATTCATTTTTTCACTTCAGTTTCACGCATTTGAGTAAATACTAATCTGACAAGGTATAATAGGTATTTATAACAAACTGAACCAATGGAAAACATCCACATGGCTATAAAATTCAAACCCGAATGCATGAGGCTACCAATGCATAGATTATTGATAGTATCAGTTATTTTATGCCTCAATGTTACATGGATGCTGAATAATCACTGTTTAAAGATTAGAAAACAGGCAAATTATTGGCATGATAAACTGTTGAAACTGAACATGAAAGTGCGGCATAAGCACGTGAAACAGAAGTAGAATGTTACCATCATTCCAGCAGCAAGATGAACAGAGGGAACAAAATACTGGTCCAATTTATTCCCTTCAGCGTAGCCATTAAATGCGATAACCATTGAGAAAGTATGGACCGTTACAAATGCAAGAGCAATAATTGCTGCAATGTTAGATGAAAGCTATTAGAAAAGATAAACTTAACTTCAAGTCCAATATTTACGTGGTTCTTAATATGTGCCAATCCACACTACCTAACCTAGAAATCTGTTCACTAATCCAATCTCAATCTAAGGGTTGCATGATGCTTGATGCATTACATGCAAATGAATATATATATATATATATGTGTGATAGAAATAAAGAAAATACAACTCACCAGAAACAAGGAAAAAGGGTATCTGCGAACACCGATCGACAAAATAGGTTGCTGGGCCAAATGCTGGTGTTAAGAGGCTAAGACAAAAGAATACTGCATGTGCTACACCATGACCTAACCCGCCAGCTGAAGCAGTTAACGGAAATTTGATATCAGTGCATAAATCAAATTAACAAGAAATAATGTTCACAAAGAATATAAAATGGATATAAATATAATTTACTATTTCCAAAAAGATCCACAAGAACAAGAGAAAAAGGGGGATCTTAGTATGGGTAGACTTATGCCTTTGATCTATATTCCCAACGAACATGTCTTTCGTACAAAATGATTCTTCTCTAGAACAAAAATTTACTGCAAGTCAGCTCATAAAATTTCTGATAGAATAACTAAGACGATAGGAGGGATCTCTTTTGCAAAATAACATAAAAATAACCTCTACTATGTCCTACAACAGTTCACCAGATCCAAATTCCCTTTTTCTTATTCAATTATAGAAGCAAGTGAAGAATGGAAGCATCTTCCAATCTTACCAAGAGCAATTTGCATCTTATCAGTCAGATACAAGCGTGGCTTCGAGACCCTATCTGCAAAAGCATCCAGTATGTCTTCTAACCTCCTGAGAAAGACCAAATGCAAGCATTTATCGGCCCATGCAAAACATACTGTTATATACAAGTAAGCAAGTACACAGACTCTATACAACTAAACAAAAATCCCCTTTATATGCCTAAGAATTTGGCTCAATGAAAGATCCATATATATATATATATATATATATATATATATATATATATATAACGAACAAGCTTCAAAGTTCCCCCTAGAACAATGGAATAAAATGAAGGGCCTAAATAACATCAACATAATAAGTAGATTCATTCATTTTGTCATCCCAAGAAAGGATTTAAATTTCCTAATTGTTCAAAAACAATACTACTAATCAATTTCAAATTCAGAAGAAAAAAACAGAAAGGCAAGCAGTGATAGCGATTGGCTTACTTATAAACTTTCCAGAAAAGAAGGCGAAGACCTTCTTGAAAAGCAACGGAGCTGAATATAAGAATTGCAAAAGGCCACCATGATGTTGAATTCAAAGGAAGGAAAGCTCTCCAAATTCCAGATAATATTATCAAACTTATAAGCCAAACCAGCGTACTGCATTCCCAATAAAAAACGAAATCAAAAAGTTACAATTTTGAAGTGAACAACAAACTCAGAATCGAAAAATAGATAAAACCCAGAGTTGGGGTCTGTTTGGTAAGAGAGAAAAAGGGACGGAAAGTGAGGGAAAACCTGGAGAGGAGAGTGAGGATCAAGAAGGGCTTTTTGGAGATAACGGAGATGAAAAGGGAGAGAGACGGTCCTAACGCCACCAAAGCATACCCGATCCCTGCCGCCACCGTCATTATTCTTCTCCGATTCTCGCTTCCTGTCTCTCGTTGCTTTTACTTGAATTGGAATTGGTGAAGGTTTTAAGATTCCAAGCTTTGTTCAATTCAATGGAAAAACTACGGTCTTTTCTCTTTGTTAATACCTCAGAAACAGTAAAAAGTTTTCGAAATTTTCAATATAGTCCTCCCAATTTTTTTTACTACATAATAGGTCATAGTAAAAGGGTTAATCAAGGCTTAATATCAAAATAAATGGCTAAATTATACCCATTTTCCTGAATAGGTGCCTAACCTATTTTTTTGATTCATCCAGTGCCTAACATTACAAACGTTACCTATTTAGGTGTCTAGGTCGTCAACGACATTAATTTTTCATTAAATGACACGTGTCACAATCTAGTGCTTTTAAAATTTTCAATAAAATTTTAAAAAATAAAATTATATATTTAAAAATAAATAAACATTTTCAAATAACCATAAAACTTTAAAAACCTTCATTTCAACCCCTAACCCAAGTCAATCGTCGCCCTTTGCCGTCGACGAAGCTCCACCCGATCTCATCTCCCCCGATGACCAAAATCCTCATGAAATCATGACCGGTTGACGGCTAGTCGTCTGTGAATCTATGTTTTATACCATGTGAATCCTATGATGAAAATCGTGATCCCACACGATCTCGACGACCAATTGACGACAACTACGACGGCGCATGACTAGGAGGATGGCAGGGACTACGTCGACGACGGCGGTTGTGACCGAAAAGGACGATGACGACGGATTAAGGATAGGATTTGGAGATTTTAGGTATTTTGGGGCTTTTTTATAATTTAATAAAAAAATTAGGGCTTTTTATAAATATAATAATATTTTGGCCGAGTGCTCCAGGTGTGAAGAGCAGCTCATCACCAATGCAAGTGGAGTTGTAGCTGAGTGCTCCAGGTGTGGGGAGAAGGTGTCTGCTCCATGTTTTGGCTGTGCCGAGGACTGTGGGTTTTACCTTCACAAGGTATGAGCCGACGCACCCATAGAGCTTATTCATCCTTTCCATCGCAACCATCCCCTTGTTCTTTTGCAAAATCCACCGTCCTCTTATGTATGGGGATGCATCTGCGATTTCTGTGATGGAACATGTGAGAAATTCATTTATCGTTGCTCTTGCAAATTGGACTTTCATATTAAGCGTGCTTTGTTTACATTTAATATTGCTCAAAATAATTTGAAAGTGCTTCAGCATGTTGCCCTTCAACATCCGATCATTTCCACCAAAGAAGATGATGAACAACTTGAAGGTATTAGAAAGTGCTTTGGGTGTTGGGAACCATTAGCAAATTATGAATACTTCTCTCCTCGTTGTGGGTTTAATTTGCACAAGAAATGTGTTGAGCTTCCTCTCCAAACGAATCATATGTGCCATCACAGACAACCTCTTGTTCTGCAATTTAACAACGGACGGCTCTCTTGCAAGATATGTCAAGAGACCCAGCAAAGAGGATTTGTTTACGGTTGTACACCTTGTAAGGTTGTTATTCACATTGAATGTTTATCAGAACCTCCTGCTACTGAAGATAACAGTCATCCACATCCACTCACTCCATTTTCAAGACGAGCAGTCGAGCACCATTCATTTGCGATGCATGTGGCACTGAAGGAACTTATGCTTCCTACATATGTTCTCCATGCAACATATACCCCATTAAAGGTGCATTTCTTTGCCACGCATCATCAAAAGTAAGTGGCATGGTCATCGTCTTTTTCAAAAAGATTTCCTCTCACATGATTTTAGAAGTTCAGACTGTCCAATGTGTCATTGTGAAGTCATCCCAGAGGCTGCAAAAGCATCACTCTGATTGCCCCAACCCGATGCAGCAACATGTAATCCCCATGCTGTTGTCCCATGCATGTCTAATCCCCCAAATAGCGAAGGTGGTCCAGATCTGCTTCCGCCTCTACCCCAAGGAATAGCAGGACCTTGATCAAGCTCATCCACAAGAATAGAATCATCAGAATCCTCAGTTCTTGTTAGACGATGACGCTTATGGACACGTGAGCCACCCTTCCTAACATCCCTGCTGACCTTAGTCCCCAATCCTTGACGTAAAACCCTCCGAGGAGATCTAGATCTTTTCTTGCTCTCATCCATAGATAGCCTGCGTACACCAGCACGATTTCGATGATCATATCGCCTCCTTCCTTCCTGCTCTTCTTCACCCTCTTCATCATCACCTTCATCTTCACCTTCAGCTTCTTCATCACCCTCATCTTCAGCATCATTTTGGTCATCATCTATATCATTCCCATTTTCACTTTCATCTTCTCCAACTTTCTCCTCCGAAGTACTTTGCTCGCAACCACTTAAAGAATATCAGCATGGTATATACAGTAAAACAAGTTTGTATAACTTGCATTGCTGTTTGAAATACGCACCGGCCGATCCCCTGAGCGCAACATTTGGGCAATGCGAGAAGCCGCTGTCCTTGTCTTTGTCTTCCTCTTCTTTCGAATGATGGTAGGACTGTAACACAAATACGGTCGGCCATATACTTTTGGCCTTCGCCTTCGCCTTCGCCTATCACTTGAGCGCACAGGCTCTTCAGATACCATAAAGACAGTAACAGGTTTGTTTTACTGTGTTATGAAAGAGACCGCAGGACATCACTCCTGTTAAGAGCCACACATTTCCATTGAGATACATAGAGTTCGAGGTCAATGGTGCTAACAGGTTGTGAAGGAACTTATTCAACAAGGAACTAAAGATTTAAGAAGAAATAGTGTGAGTCTATATAAAATATTCATTTGTTGCAATTTGAAATTAAATATGAGCACAACGATGAAAGGATTAACTCAAACAAAAGCAGGTATTTCAGGTGATTGCTATTATTCAAGCTGCTCCGACGAAAACAATCAAATTGAACTTCTCTCTGAATTAATTCGACTCACTGAGTCTACTGCCCCCGACTCACTAAGCAATGTTTTCTGGAATGGGACCCATCGAGAGGTAGGCCCCACTTTGAAACGGCGGGACGAAATGAAAAACCGTCGTGAAATTGCAACAAGAACAAGTCAGAGAGCCAATGTGAATTCGCCACGTGGTCAGATTTGTTTCTGTTTTATTTTTTATTTAAATCATCAATATTCGATCGATTGATCATTAATTTGAATGAAATACTACGGAGACATATTATAAATTTACGACTCACTCAATTCAGTTTGTTTCATATTCAGATATGGAATTAAAATCCTTTACAATTCAATTAAGATAAAAAATTATATTTCGATTACTTTTTTACAATTCAATCCTTCAATTTTACACTATGTTCTTTAAATTCATCTTATTAGTATAAAATACGAAACAGATAAATATATATTTAAATCTTCTAATAAAAAGATATTTGAGAAGAAAAAAAAAACTTTATCGCCCCTAAGGGCATCTCCAATGCTGCGCTGCATTGGAGATTTTCTTCAAAGTAGAGATGAAAAAGCTCTCCAGCCCTGCGCCACTTCCATCGCCACAGTAGAGTATTGCTACAGTACCGCGCCACATCTAGCATGGTACTGTAGCTCGCGTTAGATTTAGGGTTTTTTTAACTTAAAATATATTAAATTATAATATATATAAAAATATATTAAAATCAGATAAATAATCATACTAATTTTTTTGTAATTTTTCGGATTTTTTGTATTTTTCTGATTTTTTATATTTATAAAATTAATATTATAATAGTTAAATATTGTGAATAAAATAGAATTAGTGATAATGTAGAGATAGCGCTAGAGATGAATTACTGTTTAATCTCTATAGTAGAGATAGAGATGCGCTAGAGTAAAGATGAGGATTGGAGATGACCTAACGATTGATGAAATCGTTATGGCTGTGGGGGGATGAAAATGAAAGGAACATGGACACCGTGTGCCATGATTTTGGTATGCCTTCCATTGCAAGGGTTCCAAAGTAAATGTCAATTTATATTGTGGACCAACCTCAAGAATAATTTTGTAGTGTACGTCTTACAATCACATGCAATTCCATGTTTAATAGAGCTCGTGATGCAATGATAAGATTATTATTTCTTTCAATTCAGATAATACTTATATTGGCATGTTTAGGGATGGATATGATTGGTTCCGACCCGATCAGATAGGTTTTTTTTTAAAAATTCAGGTTCGGGTCGTATCTTTTAAAGGTGATATTCAGGTTGGATTCGGGTTTAGGGTGAAAAATATCCGACTCGACATGAAAAAAATATAATTTTACCTTATATAATTATGAATAATTACAATAATACCCATATATATTATTTTTTTTCAATTAAATCATTGTTTTTATTGAATAAAAATAATATTTTTTTATTATTTCAGGTCGGTCGGGTTGGTTGAAGGGTATATATTTTTCGGGTTGGATCGGGTTCGGGTGAAGGATGTGAACTTTTCGGGTCGGGTAGGGTTGGCCGAAACCCGACCCATGCCCATCCCTAGGCATGTCAAAATTAACATTCATAATAATTTAAAAATAGGATAAACTATACGGCTAATATCTCAATTATCATTTTTGTTATATTTTGGTAACTCAATTATTCTTTCAAAAATATGTCTAACATTTAGTTTTGGTTTCATTTTGGTCATATGTCATTAACGTCACCATAAAATAATGATACATCATCATTGAAAAGATAAAAAAAATTATATCAATAATTCTATTAATTTTTTAACTATAGATGCTCAAAATAAAAGTAAAATGTAATGTTAGGTATAATTTTTTACCGGATTTACTACCACGGTCATCATTACTTCCGGTAACGCTGTACCTTTTCTTTTCATCATCTTGGCTTTAGTTGCTACTTAATTCAATGATAAATTATAAGGCAACCTTTTACTTTTTCTTTCTTTTTCATGTATGGTTAAGTGATTTAAAGATGGTTATTGATTTGTAATTAAAAAAATGGTTATTGGTCGGGTTGGGTTATATTAGATTTTTGGATTAAGTATACAAATGGTCCCTTACCTATAGGGTATCGTTTTATTAAGTCATTCAACTATTAAAAGGTACAAAATAATCACTCGATTATTCATTATGTT